GAAAAAGTGCGAGGGAACATTGGACCTTTCCACCCAGCGCTGGGGGGGGAGTTACCTAGGGCCACTCCGGCACTGATAGCAACGCCCCCCCCCCGTCCAAGCAGGCAAGCCTGATGCATAAGTGCCTCTCCCTCCCCACCACATCCCACTTTCGCAGCCCAGAGGGGACCAGAGAGGGAAGCGCGGGAATCGGCGGAGCACAGCACAAGCCAACGCGCCAGCCCTGCCCTGGAGCTGTTTCCCAAAAGAGGCGGATTTATCTCCAGGAAAGGCTGCAGGGAGCTGGAAACCCCCGTCCACAATTAACCATGGACACTGCCACCCCGAGGCCTCACGCGCCTGCCAACGGGCAGCTCCGTCCCGGAACGACGAATAAACAAGAGAACAGGCTGGAAGAATCACAGCTACGTGGGGTCTGAATCAGGCAGGGCCTGGTCATCCCTGGTGGATTTCTTTAGACAAGCACCGTGGCATTTACAGACTAGAGACTTTGTGCAATCGCTGGTGGCTTTTCCCTTGCCAAGGGCAGCTGGAGGGCTCCGTCCCAAACGAGTCTTGAGACGGGTCAAGAAAGAACAAACGTCAAGTCACCGTGGAAGATAGCCAGGTGTGTCTGACTCCTCGGGCGTGGACATCTGGGGCTCCCAGGCTGCTGAGTCACTGGGCATAGATACTAGAGGCCTCTCGGTGCAGGAAGCAATCGGCATAGACAGTCCGGAACTCCAGCCGCCAGCGTCTTCTGGGATGCTCAGAACAGTGGTCCCTGTAAGCCGGGCACTTGTGCCGCTGCTCAGCAGAGATTCCAACGCCACCCAAGTGATTTGCAGAGCGTCCCCTGCGAGGTTGGTGTTTCTCCAGGTGGTGCGCATTCACACACGCCTCGGTGCATGGAACAAAATTTATTCTGTCCATGGATGGAAAAGATTAGAGGGAATATTGGGAAAGAGCAGGGCCCCTAGGGTGAGATCTAGCAAGCTGTGGAATAGCCTCCAAGAGGACAGGCTGGCCCCTTGCCCTGGGGGAACCATCCTGGCCAGGCGTGTTCCTGGAAGCCCCAGTCCTGGACTCGGTTGGTTTTCTGAGCGTCGGAGCTTGCTTTTAGAAGTGTGGCACGTTTCTAGCCCGCTGGGCTGCCCAGAAAGCTCGGCAAGGGTGACACCCAGAGACTCAGCCAGCAGGGGGCAAAGAAACCCAGCCCCACGTTCGGGATGTTAAAGCCTCTCCCGACCGTCACGCCAGTCGGACGATGCGGGGCGGGGTAGCCCGATGTTTGCACGTGATAGCGCACGGCTGTGCACACTTGAGACATTCACGTGCTTGCACAGGGATGTGCATGTGCATAGCTACCCTCCCCCCCCATGCACGCACGGGCATCCCTGCTCTGGCTCAGTCGACGGTTTGCAATATTCCCCCTCCGGATCCAGGAGCGTTTGCACCCACGACGGAGCAGTTTCCCGGTGGCAGGTGACTGGCCACACACCTGTGAGCGCTGCAAGAGGATGCAGCAGGGGGCCCTTTCTTGGAAGTCCCCCAGCACTGGTCAGGCTGCCGGTCCTGCCTAAAGACCCTAGAATGTACCCCAGCAAACTTTGGGGCCCTCGAGTCCCAGGGAAAACACCCAGCCGGCCCCAGGGACATCTCCCAGCTGGACTGTGGCTCCCCCTGCTGGCTCTTTGGAGTCTGATCCCACCACCAGGATCACAGATTGGGGCTCAGGGGCCGGATAGACCCCCCTCTCTCACCTCGCCCTTGGCCCCTCTGCCGCCAGCCAGAATCCAAGAGAAACGAGAAGCCGTTGGCCTGTCTCCCCAGGGCCCACAGCTGTTGTAAGGTGCAAATCCACCTGTGACAATGTCTGCAGGGTCACACGCAGCATCCCAGGAGCTCAGACATGAACGTAGCAGGGGAGACCATCCCCGTCTTCCTCACGGGGAAACCGAGGCACAGAGCGGGAAAGGGACTTGGCGACGGGTCAGTGTCAGCGCTGAGGACAGAAGCCGGTGTCCTGACCCATGTGCCCTGTAAGCCGTGCAGTTGTGCGAAGAAGTGGGGAGTTTTGGGGGTCCAAAGGGGGGTCACATACAGGGAGGCGCTCAGTGCCTGGATGTTACTGGTTTGTTGTTTCAGAGAACAGCCCAGAATTGGAGCCGGGGTGTCTGGGACCCTGGTGACCCCGGCCCTGCTCAGAGGACACGGCCGGCTTCGGCCACAGGACAGACAAGGGGCTGCAGGGGGGACCCCAGCAACCGGCCCAGCTGCCCCCAGCAAGGGGAGAACATTGGCCGGGGAGGGGGGCAGAGAAGAGGGGCCCAGGCGACCCTGTTACTTGGGGAGAAGACAATGGCCGGGGGAGGGGCTGTTGCGGGGGATATTGGAGGCGTTGCTGGGAGACGGGGGCTGTTTTGGGGGGTCTGAGGGCAGAGCAGGCAGGACTCAGCTGGCTGCAGGGGAGGCTGACGTGGGGGCTGAGGGCCCAGCCGACTGGCCTGAGGGATCCTTTGCTGGGTTCAAAGCTCAATAAACCCTCCTGTTTGGTGCTGGCTCATAGTTGCTCTGGGCTGGAGAACAGGGGGGCGCTATTCC